ATAATAAAGGGACTTTTCGCTACTTTTTCGTTCTACACAGGTACTTTTTTGAGTTTTCTTTAAAATTAAACCTAGAAACATGAAATTAAGCATGTAGAGCTCGGAGTAAATGAGAATCTATAAAATGGGACTTTTTGGTACTTTTTCGTTCTTCAAAAGGTACTTTTTGAATTTTCTATAATATTGAACCTAGAAACATGAAATTAAACATGTAGAGACCGGAGTAAATGAGAATCTATAAAAGGGGACTTTTTGGTACTTTTTCGTCCTTCGACTGGTACTTTTTGAGTTTTCTGTAAAATTTAACCTAGAAACATGAAATTAAGCATGTAGAGCCCGGAGTAAATGAGAATCTATAAAAGGGGACTATTTGGTACTTTTTCGTCCTTCGACTGGTACTTTTTGAGTTTTCTATAAAATTTAACCTAGAAACATGAAATTAAGCATGCGGAGGCCTTAGTTAATGAGAATCTATAAAAGGGGAATTTTTGGTACTTTTTCGTCCTTCCACTGGTACTTTTTGAGTTTTCTATAAAATTTAACCTAGAAACATGAAATTAAGCATGCGGAGGCCTTAGTTAATGAGAATCTATAAAAGGGGACTTTTTGGTACTTTTTCGTCCTTCGACTGGTACTTTTTGAGTTTTCTATAAAATTTAACCTAGAAACATAAAATTAAGCATGTAGAGCCCTTAGTAAATGAGAATCTATAAAAGGGGACTATTTGGTACTTTTTCGTCTTTCGACTGGTACTTTTTGAGTTTTCTATAAAATTTAACCTAGAAACATGAAATTAAGCATGTAGAGCCCTTAGTAAATGAGAATCTATAAAAGGGGACTTTTTGGTACTTTTTCGTTTTTCGACTGGTACTTTTTGAGTTTTCTATAAAATTTAACCTAGAAACATGAAATTAAGCATGTAGAGCACTTAGTAAATGAGAATCTATAAAAGGGGACTTTTTGGTACTTTTTCGTCCTTCGACTGGTACTTTTTGAGTTTTCTATAAAATTTAACCTAGAAACATGAAATTAAGCATGTAGAGCCCTTAGTAAATGAGAATCTATAAAAGGGGACCTTTTTGGTACTTTTTCGTCTTTCGACTGATACTTTTTGAGTTTTCTATAAAATTTAACCTAGAAACATGAAATTAAGCATGTAGCCCGGAGTAAATGAGAATCTATAAAAGGGGACTTTTTGGAACATTTTCGTCTTTCGACTGGTACTTTTTGAGTTTTCTATAAAATTTAACCTAGAAACATGAATTTAAGCATGTAGAGTCCAGAGTAAATGAGAATCTATAATAAGGGACTTTTTGGTACTTTTTCGTCCTTCGACTGGTACTTTTTGAGTTTTCTATAAAATTTAATCTACAAACATGAAATTAAGCATGTAGAGCCCAGAGTAAATGAGAATCTATAATAGGGGACTTTTTGGTACTTTTTCGTCCTTCGACTGGTACTTTTTGAGTTTTCTATAAAATTTAACCTAGAAACATGAAATTAAGCATGTAGAGCCCTTAGTAAATGAGAATCTATAAAAGGGGACTTTTTGGAACTTTTTCGTCTTTCGACTGGTACTTTTTGAGTTTTCTATAAAATTTAACCTAGAAACATGAATTTAAGCATGTAGAGCCCAGAGTAAATGAGAATCTATAATAGGGGACTTTTTGGTACTTTTTCGTCCTTCGACTGGTACTTTTTGAGTTTTCTATAAAATTTAACCTAAAAACATGAAATTAAGCATGTAGAGCCCGGAGTAAATGAGAATCTATAAAAGGGACTTTTTGGTACTTTTTCGTCCTTCGACTGGTACTTTTTGAGTTTTCTATAAAATTTAACCTAGAAACATGAAATTAAGCATGCGGAGGCCTTAGTTAATGAGAATCTATAAAAGGGGACTTTTTGGTACTTTTTCGTCCTTCGACTGGTACTTTTTGAGTTTTCTATAAAATTTAACCTAGAAACATAAAATTAAGCATGTAGAGCCCTTAGTAAATGAGAATCTATAAAAGGGGACTATTTGGTACTTTTTCGTCTTTCGACTGGTACTTTTTGAGTTTTCTATAAAATTTAACCTAGAAACATGAAATTAAGCATGTAGAGCCCTTAGTAAACGAGAATCTATAAAAGGGGACTTTTTGGTACTTTTTCATCCTTCGACTGGTACTTTTTGAGTTTTCTATAAAATTTAACCTAGAAACATGAAATTAAGCATGTAGAGCCCTTAGTAAATGAGAATCTATAAAAGGGGACTTTTTGGTACTTTTTCGTCTTTCGACTGATACTTTGTGAGTTTTCTATAAAATTTAACCTAGAAACATGAAATTAAGCATGTAGAGCCCGGAGTAAATGAGAATCTATAAAAGGGGACTTTTTGGAACTTTTTCGTCTTTCGACTGGTACTTTTTGAGTTTTCTATAAAATTTAACCTAGAAACATGAATTTAAGCATGTAGAGCCCAGAGTAAATGAGAATCTATAATAGGGGACTTTTTGGTACTTTTTCGTCCTTCGACTGGTACTTTTTGAGTTTTCTATAAAATTTAACCTAGAAACATGAAATTAAGCATGTAGAGCCCTTAGTAAATGAGAATCTATAAAAGGGGACTTTTTGGAACTTTTTCGTCTTTCGACCGATACTTTTTGAGTTTTCTATAAAATTTAACCTAGAAACATGAAATTAAGCATGTAGCCCGGAGTAAATGAGAATCTATAAAAGGGGACTTTTTGGAACATTTTCGTCTTTCGACTGGTACTTTTTGAGTTTTCTATAAAATTTAACCTAGAAACATGAATTTAAGCATGTAGAGCCCGGAGTAAATGAGTATCTATAATAGGGGACTTTTTGGTACTTTTTCGTCCTTCGACTGGTACTTTTTGAGTTTTCTATAAAATTTAAATTACAAACATGAAATTAAGCATGTAGAGCCCAGAGTAAATGAGAATCTATAATAGGGGACTTTTTTGTACTTTTTCGTCCTTCGACTGGTACTTTTTGAGTTTTCTATAAAATTTAACCTAGAAACATGAAATTAAGCATGTAGAGCCCTTAGTAAATGAGAATCTATAAAAGGGGACTTTTTCGTCTTTCGACTGGTACTTTTTGAGTTTTCTATAAAATTTAACCTAGAAACATAAAATTAAGCATGTAGAGCCCTTAGTAAATGAGAATCTATAAAAGGGGACTTTTTGATACTTTTTCGTCCTTCCACTGGTACTTTTTGAGTTTTCTATAAAATTTAACCTAGAAACATGAAATTAAGCATGTAGAGCCCTTAGTAAATGAGAATCTATAAAAGGGGACTTTTTGGTACTTTTTCATCCTTCAACTGGTACTTTTTGAGTTTTCTATAAAATTTAACCTAGAAACATGAAATTAAGCATGTAGAGCCCTTAGTAAATGAGAATCTATAAAAGGGGACTTTTTGGAACTTTTTCGTCTTTCGACTGGTACTTTTTGAGTTTTCTATAAAATTTAACCTAGAAACATGAATTTAAGCATGTAGAGCCCAGAGTGAATGAGAATCTATAATAGGGGACTTTTTGGTACTTTTTCGTCCTTCGACTGGTACTTTTTGAGTTTTCTATCAAATTAAACCTAGAAACATGAAATTAAGCATGCAGAGCCCTTAGTTAATGGGAATATATAAGGGGACTTTTTGGTACTTTTTCGTTCTTCGACTGGTACTTTTTGATTTTTCTATAAAATTTAACCTAGAAACATGAAATTAAGCATGCAGAGCCCTTAGTTAATGGGAATATATAAGGGGACTTTTTGGTACTTTTTCGTTCTTCGACTGGAACTTTTTGATTTTTCTATAAAATTGAACCTAGAAACATGAAATTAAGCATATAGAGCCCGGAGTAAATTGGAAACTATAAAAGAGGACCTTTTTGGTACTTTTTTGTTCTTCGATTGGTACTTTTTGATTTTTCTATAAAATTGAACATAGAAACATGAAATTAAGCATGTAGAGCCCGGAGTAAATAAGAATCTATAAAAGGAGACTTTTTTGTACTTTTTCATTCTTCGACTGGTACTTTTTTCAGTTTTTTATAAAATTTAACCTAGAAACATAAAATTAAGCATGTAGAGCCTGGAGTAAATTAGAATCTATAAAAGGGGACTTTTTGGTACTTTATCGTACTTCGACTCGTACTTTTTGAGTTTTCCATAAAATTAAACCTAGAAACATGAAATTAAGCATGCAGAGGCCTTAGTTAATGAGAATCTATAAAAGTGAACTTTTTGGCACTTTTTCGTCCTTCGATTGGTATTTTTTGAGTTTTCTATAAAATTCAACCTAAAAACATGAAATTAAGCATATAGAGCACGGCGTAAATGAGAATCTATAAAAGTGGACTTTTAAGTACTTAAAATTGAGTACACATATACAATCATCATTTCTTCAAATTAGGGAATTACCAATATTTAAAAATTTGTAATCTTTGTAATACATATTATTTTTTCCTTGCTAAATGAAGAGCCAACATATTTCTCATTCTATAAAAACCCTCGCTAACAAAGTAGCGGGTAATAAGCTAGTTATAAATAAAATTGGTTACGAAAAGACCGCAATTATTTTATGTATAAATCCTTAATGTTTTGACAAATAGATGTCAGTAGTGTTAACAATTTATTATAGCGCATGTTCAATACAATTTTCCAGTAAAACTCACAATGGTATTGAGTGTGGCAACACCGTTTTCTTTTTTACTTGACAGTTTAATAACGTAAACAAAAACAAATAACAACAAACACTTTCTTCTACAACAAGGTAAAACAACTGATAAGAAAATATGTAGTATGTATGTATGTATGTCGAATGTACGAAACAAAACAATCAAATAGGAGTAAAAGCAGAGTGATAAAACAATACCAATCCTTATGGGAATAAGTTGCATGGAATTTGGGATTGAAATGTCTGATTTACAATTGGGAAACGAAAATTGCTACTAGAACGAGTTAGTTGCACATAAGACTTCTAAGCGAAATGTTATTTAGCATTGAGTTCGTACGGTAGCGCGCTTTTTTAGAAAATCAAAATTTACACATATTTCGACAATATAGAGTGCCAATGTTGTTCGCTTTTAAAGTTGGCATAATTAAACATTCGGTTATTTATAATGTATACCTATTTATTCTTCAAAAGAAATGAATTCAATTTGAAAAAATAAAAAAATATTTTTTTTAATATACTGCGGCATCTAGTGTGCAAAAAAAGCAACAAAGTCTATCAATGACACAGTGTATAGTGCTATAAAAAACCAGCAACAACTATTTAATTAATAAATCGGTTTGTTTTGACAAATAGATGTCCGTAGCGTTAATAACAATTTCTCATAGCGCATGTTCAATGCAATTTTCCAATGTCAAGAATCCCATAAATCCCCGAGTTGTATTAGTATGGCATCACTATGTACTTATTTTTTACTTGACAGTTTATTGACAACTGTCAAATACTCTCACGCTCTTGTTCTGCTCTCTGTTTTATTCGTTTATTAAAATTCGGTCGTTTTGCTTGTGATTTGTGAAAAAAAGTAAAAAAATAAAAAGTGGAATCAATTTAAGTTAGAATTTACTCAAACTGAATAAAATTCATGATTAATTATGTGAAAAGAAATTCAGAATCAAATGTTTTTAATTGAAAAGAAGCAAACATTCAGTAGAGTGTTAGAAAATAAATCTGTGTTTATGGGCTAACGCCCCCAGTGCTGCTGCCGCCACTAAACGACCAGAAGAAGAAGATGTTTCGAAAGTATAGAAATTTCTTCTTCTGCTAAGGAAAGCGAAAAAAACCAAAGAAAAATTTATTCAGTGGTGGAGCTGCATCAATGTTATTTTTCCTTGGGAAAATTAAATACAAAAACAAAAATCTAATTGAAAAATGTGCAATATTTGGAATAGATACAAAAAAACACAGCAACTATGTTTCCGAAGTTTCCTGCTTTTCTTTGATTGCTGGAAAATATTACGGATGCCACAAAATGTTTGGCATCCCTTAGATGCAAGTAGTAAAATATAAATTATTCACAAAAAAATATTCAGAAAAAAACGAAATAAATGATATAGTTTTAACAAAAATAATTATAATAAAAGAAAAAAAAAAAAAAAACAAGAATAAAACATAATCAAACCAATGACAGGCTCCTGTCGCATACACAGCAGTGACAAATAGTTGTTAACCCTTCAAAACCGTGTTAATGTGCACTCGTCCCACCTTCACTGGCACCTCCTCACCGCCACCCTACAACCACTACAACTATTTTTACAACTATTACTCCTCAAAAATATATAACGACTGACTCTGTAGCTGCTACTCCTACTACAGCAATTACGAATCGAAACTTTACCTTTTTAATACCACTCACCTACAAACATACAAACAAAAACACAACAACTCACTTAATTTAGAACAACTGTGCAACAACAAAACCAAATATAAACGTAAAAAGAAAACATAATAATAACAACTAAAGTGTAGAAAGAATTTAAATAAAATAATTAAAATAAATTAAAAAAGAACAAAATGCAAGCTAAAAAACGTTACATACTTGTGTTTGTATCCTGCGCATTTCTGGCGTACTGTTATTTTGGTGGTTACCGGCTGAAAAATGCAGCACATCGTCGTCGCGGCTCTTCATCTTCGCCTTCAATCGAAGGTGACAGCGAGTCTCTGGATCATTTGCCTAGTTATCTTTCAAATGAGGCGGTAAATGACTATTTAAGTTCTATTGGTCCAGAAATGGCAGAAACAATCTCTAAATCACGAACGGGAGCAGAAAACTTGCCAGCATCTGGTGAACAAGCACCTGCGAATGCAATAGCAACATCGTTGTCAGCACGCTCCTGTCGCATGGAGACATGTTTCGATTTTAGCAAATGCTACAATGAGTTTCTCATTTATGTCTATCCACCCGAACCGCTTAATTCACTGGGTGCTGCTCCGCCAATTTCACCCAATTACCAAAAGATCATTACCGCCATACAAGAGTCACGCTATTATACGCCAGACCCGGAACGGGCTTGTCTTTTCGTGTTAGGCATCGATACTTTGGATCGCGATTCGCTATCAGAGGATTACGTGCGTAATGTACCGTCTCGTTTGGCTCGTCTACCTCATTGGAACAATGGTCGTAATCATGTTATATTTAATTTGTACTCGGGCACTTGGCCCGACTACGTTGAACATTCGCTTGGTTTCGATACGGGCGAAGCGATTTTAGCTAAGGCCAGCATGAGTGTACAACAGATGCGACCAGGTTTCGATATAAGCATTCCATTGTTTCACAAGCAATTTCCGTTACGCGCCGGTTCTACAGGTCTGGCATCGTCCATGCATTTTCCATCAAACAAAAAGTATCTGCTGGCTTTTAAAGGCAAACGGTAAGTTTATTTTTTATGTTTTGTGAAATATATGTATGTATGTTCTTTTAGTTTAGCGCTTGAAATTGTGGGGAATCAAAGAATGTTTTGGAACGAATATTCGTCTGAAATGGAATATACTCGTGCTTAAGAAATATCAATTTATTAACTTCAAAATTTATATTCTGACGCCTGATAACATAAGAATCTAAATATTTTAATATATTTTAAAAGTTTGCTACAACCGTACATTTTTTAAGTAATTTAACATATAGTCACCTAAAACGTAAACGCCCCTATTTAACATTTTTCAAATTTTTCAGGAGAAGCAAAAAACTACTAAAACTAAACTACTATATAAAATCGATTTTGAATTTTTGGTTAGTTAGAGCCGTTTGCGTTTCAGGTGACGATATTTGAGAAAAATGTATTATCAATTTTAAATTTATACGAAGGAAAATTCCTCAACCTGCTTTGTTTTAAGATTGGTTAAGTTTTGACCCACCTCTCATGCAGAAAATCTGTTTATATTATAAACTTTATAGTAAGTAAATCTTTCAAAATTAAGCATGTATGTATGATAAAGTTCTACAAAAATTATTTGTTTTCGATATTAATAACTTGTTTAAATTTACTAATTAACAACCATATATTTTAAAAGAAAATTTATGGGCTCGATATGGTCTTATTCAAGTTCAATTAATAAATCTATAATTGTTTATTGAAAAAACTCTAAAATGAATTCAAAACTTTTTGAAATTTTATTGAAACACTCTAAAATATAATTAAATATAAAAATTCGTGAACATGTTTTGATGTCGAATATAAACCTATTTAGTAGTCTATTGTACGTAGGAAAATTCGTTCCCCTTAATTGCTGATATTTTTTTTTTGAAGAATACCACAATTATCATTGATTCTAAAGGGAATTTAACGCCAAATTCTTCAATGAAACTGAATGGAATCCATAAAAAAAGAACAGAAAAAAGAAAACCTTAGAGGTTTGGGAGAATTTCTAGAATTGGGCTGAAATAGATGTTACATTTGTCAGAACACATTACCATTTGCTTAGCATAGAAGTTTACTCTAGTTAGTCCAGTTAGAGTTAGTTAGAGTTGGTTTCATAATCTCATAATCTTCTCAAGAAGAAGTAAATTTTTGAGATTTAAAAAGTACATTCGTACTCTATGACAGTCTTTGAGATAATCTTAACGATTACTCAACAAAACCCACAGCAAATCTTTCAAGTCCCATCTGAGAGAGGACATGATATTATTGAAAGCACCTTTGATATCGTAGCAACAAGACCTTGTCTATCTAATCGAATGTGAAAATCATTCTGTGCATTAAAATTTTATTTTTATACCCTACACCACTACAGTGGGGATGGTATTATTGTTTGTTGATGTTTGTAACACTCAAAAATATTAGTCCTACACCCACTTTCTGATACGATTAAACTGCATATGTATGTATTTATGTCCATCTGTTCTACCGTATGTGTGTCCATGTAAACCTTTGCAAGTTTTCAAACAAATTTGATGAAATTTGGTACATACTCTTCTTATGACCCAAGAACGAAAAAATCCAAAATTTTAACATAGTCACTGGTGTAGGGTACCATATGGTCGGCCATACCCGTCTATACTTGTTAATTCTAAAATCGTTCATTTCGTAATCTTGAGACTTTCCAAATGAACTCTTTTTATTTCCAACTACGAAACAAATTTATTTAAAGATTTTTAGAGGTGAAAAGTTTATCATCTCGTCTTCTAAAATATTTGACTGTAGTCTTTAAAGCTTTTGTTTTGCTGTGATGGTGAAATAAAGAATGTTTGGTTAAATATTTTATTCTCATATAAATTTTTTAATTTATGAAAAATAGCTAAAAGAACAATTTGAATTAATGTTAATAAGAAATATTCATATTTATATAAATACATACAAATGATTAAATATGTTTGTATGTATATGCCATACAATTCTATAAACCAACTTAATAAGTACATATGCAGTAAATGCTTGCAGACAAGCAACTTGAAGATCATATAATTTAATAAATTTGTCTTTACATTAAGCTTATTAAGATGGTACACATAAATAAATTGTGTTTATTGTAATATTCCAATTTACAATTGAAACTAGATTCAAATACATAATATGTATTTATTTATATATACTTTTACTTTTTGCCAAAACTACTGTTGAATTTTAAAATATTTTGTGATGCCATCCTAATGATGTTTTTTTCATATAATTTTTCTTGCATATAATTGGATTTTATGGCCATTAATTCGGAGAAACATTATTATTAATAAATAAACTATCAACGAGTTAAAATTACTAAACCCTAAAATGCTTTGCTCTTACATAGTCGATTCAAATTAAAATTGCAACTTTGTGGGCTTTGTATCCTGTTACATACTATGTGATCGACTACAAACTTGAGTTTTACAAGGAAAAATTTTAATTGTTATATATAAATTTATTGTAACTCAAGAATTGTCGCCATTAATATAAAATATTTTCTACACAACATATAGTTTGCATGTTTTAGTTTTTGTCGTTATTGAAATTCTTTAAAATAGAAATTTGTTTTAGATTTAATTGAAATTATTGTACACATCCTACATGAACAAAAAATATTCCTCTTCGTACGTGTTCAAAGCTGGAGGTAAGAGTAAAGAAAGAAAAGAAATAAATAAATTTGTCTGACTTTGAATGAACAACGGAAGAAGAATGAAATTCTTTCGATTAATTTAGAAAAAAAATGAGCCAAAGATTTGCATTGTGTTGTTTGAACATTTCTATTTATATAATAATAGAAATGTTTGATTAAATTACTCACAGCTTGTTGTAGTTTTGAAATTAAGTTGTTAATTTGTATTTATTAAATTGTATTTATACAAATATATAAATAAACTTTTTAATATTTTTAATACAACTATCCAAACTACAACCACCTGTCTTACCATTTTATCACTTATAAAGATTGAACCCACCAAAATCGAAAAATTTTAAATCGTTTATAATTTCAAATCTAAGTAACCAATTAAAAAAAAAATAAATTTGAATAGCCTATAGTCTCCTTATTTAAAGCCAAATAAAATTTTTTTATTGTTTATTTCGTTTTGAAAAAATGGCTTCAGAGCTTAGTCGGATAAAACTTATATTCCTTAGTGCATTGTCCTCTAAACGAAATTTTTGATAGAGTCACAGGTGGTAATTATAATTAAAAAAATTTAGACTAAGTAGATATCAAACTTTAATTTGTTTAGTATTTTTACTTTTTTGAAAATTTAAATATACTATTACTATTATGTATACTTATAGTATTTTATTTGTTTTCTATTAAATATTACTTTTATGGTTTATTGAAATAAAAATATTTTTTTAATATTTTAATGGATAAAAGTAATAAAAAAAATTCCATATTTACGGTCTGCCTCTGAAATTGAGACAATTACAGCAGTGAATGTTAATTTAGCACATATTTATATTTATATTATTTGACATATCAAAATTTATGTAAATTATTTTAGCAAATAATATTTGGTCAATCGAATATTCAATTATCGGATAATGAATCACATTTCCTACAGCTTTTTAAGAGAATTTTAATTGAAATCTTTTTCTGTGCACTAGTGTAATAATGCATACGTTGCATTCTTTTTTTAAAATGTATTTCTTTTTTATTTTTATTTTAATTTATTTGCTTCTTGTTGTCAAATATAATCAAATATATCATATTCATCTATAAAAAAAAACTTAAACGAAATCTTCCGCTAATATTATCTGTCAACTGCTCTAGTATTATAATCTTAAATCATAAACAACTAAAACAATGGGGAAGCAAATTGAACTTTTATAACGATTTTAGCAGACACTGACATACATATGCATCTACATATTTATAATTTGTATATACAAATCTAAACACATTTGCTGCAATAGGGTCATAACTTAAAATCCGGTTATTTTCTTAAGTTCCATAAAATTCTTTCTGTGAAAAAATCTTTGACATAATTTTAACTTTACTGCCCAGGAAAAATTTCAGAACTTGTTCTAAAAACAACTAGTTCTAGAACGAGTGCAAATAGAACCAATTCAGATTCTTAAACAACAACGTTGGAACTTCGGAACATTGTTTTGGTTCTAAAATACTTCTAAAGAGTTTTAAGGAACTAGTTTTTTGACACTAGTTATATATTGATACTACACTAGTTCAATGGAATGCGTACTAGTTCCGAAACAACTTCTTGGAATCAAAAAATTAAAATTTTTTAAACTTATTTTTATCGAAATATAAAATGCATTCATATGTATATTTCTGCATACAACTGAATTATAAGGCTTTAAAAATATTCCCCAGTGAATTGTACCGAGAGAATGGAAAGTTAGCTGCTGGTTTTGTATATCCTGTACAAACAATTTTTGATATACGTGTGGCTGAATGATCATGAATATTAAGATTATAAGACATTGGTATGTAAGTTTTCTTAACAAAATTTGTACAATATTAATAATTCCTTAACAGTTTCTCAAAATTGGTGCTAATCCGCTGAAAAAATAACTGTTTTTAAATTAAATAAGCGTATACGTTCTCTAAAGCTTCCCTAGAACTAGTTCTGAGGTTGACAAATTCGAACAAAAATCATTGATTAAAGAACTAGTTCCAGAACCGTTCCAAAGAATGAGTGTCGACTCCATAATGCTTCCTCAGAACCAGTTCGAACAAAAATCATTGTTCTCAACGCCAAAGTAGAACGAGTACAGGCTATAATCATGCGTTCTATAACTAGTTGTGGAACTAATACAATTTTTGCTGGATATTATTATTAAAAATGTAGCATAAAATCAATTAGAAAATTTACTATATTTTTTTTTGTAAAAGTGTGGAGGGAGAAACTTAGCTCTTTAGCTTCAACCGTTTAGGCTGTGCGATGTTGAATCAGTCAGTCAGTAACGTTAAAATTGTTTATATATAGATTAGAAATTATAAGAATTGTATGAGTTGTATA